TCTACGAGCTGCACACCTGATGTGTTTGTGCACTTTTGATGGACAGGGAGCCAGTATTTCAGAATACCTTTGTATGTTGAAAGGCATCTAAATTGAGAATCACTATTTATTTCTCTACTACATTGTTTTAGTAGCTGTGGAAGGAAGCAATAAATATAACCAAAGAAAGGAGAATCTCAGATAATTGAATTGGTTTGAGGAATGCTTTTAATTACCCCCTTTTAATTTAAGAATACTTTTTAAAAAAACTTTAAAAGGCTTAGCAGAGAATAACTCAGTATATGTTAAAGAAATTAAAGAAAACAGAGTGAAGCTTGATGGGAGCCTATTCTTATTTAAAATGTGAATCCTCTATTTTTAGTTTATCTTTTCTTAATTAGAATGGATTTATTGCCAGAATAGTTCTCCAAAGCAGTGAAATCAACAGAATATTCTGCAAAGGTTAAAATAATTGTATTAAGGACTAATGAGCTGAAGATGGCAGCATTGGGCGAGATACTTCATTCTCTATCCTAACAAAAGCTTTGTGAATCAGAATCTACCATAGATGCTGCATACAGGAAATAAATTACATTTGCAGTAGCTTTTTCTTATTATTCATATGAAGAGTTGTTCTAAATATACGGTATTGATAAAAATTAGAACTTGGCAGATACAAATTACATTTTACCATCTGGACATTTTATCTTTAGTTTATCTATATATATATTCTCAAAACTCAGGCTTTTCAAAGACTGTTATCCCTTATAAAATGAAAATGAGTTATTTTGGCATGTATATACGGTGATGGAATACATCCCTTTTAAAACACTAATTCCACTAGTTCTCTGTTATCGGCAACCTTACGCATAAGTGAATTAAATTCTAGAGCATCTTTGGCAGACAGGTAAATAATACCCCATTTCTACAAATGAATAGATGTGACAAGAAGATTGCAAACTATTCCACACAATGGCTTGGATCTTAACTAGGCATCCACAAAGAGAAGGGCTTCTACTGTTCACAAAGGCCTGGAAACGATGCCTTATGAGGAACGGCTAAGGGAGCTGGGCATGTTTAGCCTGGAGAAGAGGAGGTTAAGGGGTGATATGATAGCCATGTTCAAATATATAAAAGGATGTCATATAGAGGAGGGAGAAAGGTTGTTTTCTGCTGCTCCAGAGAAGCGGACACGGAGCAATGGATCCAAACTACAAGAAAGAAGATTCCACCTAAACATTAGGAAGAACTTCCTGACAGTAAGAGCTGTTCGACAGTGGAATTTGCTGCCAAGGAGTGTGGTGGAGTCTCCTTCTTTGGAGGTCTTTAAGCAGAGACTTGACAACCATATGTCAGGAGTGCTCTGATGGTGTTTCCTGCTTGGCAGGGGGTTGGACTCGATGGCCCTTGTGGTCTATTCCAACTCTATGATTCTATGAATTCTATGAATACAAAGAGAACTGGGATCACTAGGATCCTGCTAACAGAACTGGGGGAGGTATTTGCCAATTCTCTTTTCTCCTGGCTCCTGTATGGCCTCTTGTGTTGTTCCAGAGGGTCCCCTAACTCTCCAGAGAAGATTTTCAAAGGGCAGAAGAGGTGAAAGGGGAAATTGATGGAAGTTGCTTCCATTGCTGGAAGCATACTAATGCTAGATGAAGCCTAGGTAGGACCCATGCCAATGTTATTTCTAGATCCTTTATAATCTATAAAATGAGGGAGGGGGCTAGTCAAAATGAAAGGAGGAGAAAATGCTGTCACCTACCTTAGTTACCTTGGCTGCTGGCATTAAACCTGAGATGGCTTAGATCAGGAGTAGTCAACATTTTGCATTCCAGATGTTCTTGAACCGCAGTTCCCATTATTCTTGGCTGTTGGTTTTGCTGTTGTGTATTGTCATTGTACAACATCTAGAGGGCTCAACACTGGCTATTCCTGGCTTAGATTGCATTCTCTCTGCAACAGAAATACTGACATCAGATAGAACAGGAATTAACACCATGACTATACAACCATGTATCCCTCTCCAGAAATATGCCATTATTCATTAGCCTGTGCTAATTTGTTTGTCTCCCTGTGTTTATAGATGACTTAATCACACAGAGTCAAAACACACGCTCCCTGTACCTCCAGATGCTAAGATGAGTGCAATGGCCATTGTCCCCGATGACAACCACTCCCTTTCATTTTTAAATTTATTTTTGGCCAAGCACATACCAGCTGAATTTGCACCAGTTAAAGGAGTGTAAATTGTGAGTCAACTGTATTCAGAGTAATATGAGTAATTCATATATCTTGAAAACCACAGGAGATAAAGGCCATGATCTATAGAGAATGTGGAACTAGCTCTGTGGGCCTGAGGGACTTTTTAGATTTGTTTTCCTCAAACAGCAGCTCCCGATGCCTCGTGCCAAACTGATAGAAGCATTCTAAAAAGCACTTTCTGATAAGCAACGGAAGTCAGCTGTTCCATGAAAAGTCCATTATTCCACTTGGCTAGTGCAAGTCCCGTACGCGTGCTTTAAATGGCTTTTGGGATCCCTGCCAACAGTGGATCACATGGAGAAGGTGGTTAAAATCAACAGCAAAACAGCCTTGCAACCTTGTGTTTCTTCCTAATGTACTGCAGAAACACCACCTGGTGGTAATCATACTATACTATCAGGCTAACTTTCAGATTATGTGCAGCTCGACCATTCTGTTAAATAAACTGGTGCTAATTCAGGCTTTCGGGTTTTCAAGAATACCTACACATTCGTCTTGACTAAGATTACAAATTCAAACCTGCAGGTTCTTTCACAACTCTCCTACAGAAGGTTTTTTTGCATCTCATTTTTCACACAGGTAAACAACAACAACAATTTATTATTTATACCCTGCCCATGTGCCTGGGTTTCCCCAGCCACTCTGGGCGTCTTCCAACAAAAGATTAAAAGTACATTAAAACATCAGTCATTAAAAACTTCCCTAAACAGGTCTGCCTTCAGATGCCTTCTAAAAGTCAGATAGTTGTTTATTTCCTTGACATCTGATGGGAGGGCGTTCCACAGGGCAGGTGCCACTACTGAGAAGGCCTTCTGTCTGGTTTCCTGTAACCTCGCTTCTCGCAGTGAGCGAACAGCCAGGAGGCCCTCGACGCTGGACCTCAGTGTTCAGGCTGAACGATGGGAGTTTGAGACGCTCTTTCAGGTATACTGAACTGAGGCCGTTTAGGGCTTTAAAGGTCAGCATCAACACTTTGAACTGTGCTTGGAAACATACTGGGAGCCAATGTAGGTCTTTCAATACTTGATTATTTGCATGGCTGCAGGGCTTATTTCAGGCGGAACTCACCGGAACTGAGTCCTGGCACCTCTTTGCTGCATTCTGTCACCTCCGTAGTGTTGCTGTGCCATTTCCCTGCATGGCGCTTGGGGCAGCATGACAGAGGTGGCAGGCATCACGGTGTTTTTTTGGGTGCTCCTCCCCAAAAAGCTCAACCAGTTCTGGCACCTCTTTTTCTAGAAAAAAATCCCTGGATGGTTGCAGTAATGGAGTAGGAAAGGGTGAGTGGGAAGGAATGGAAGCATTTCCAGAGCAGGATGCACCAGGCTAAGCGATGGCCCCTCCTGGCGTGGGCAAGTGACTGAGGGGATCTTGAGGCCTTCAGGTGTTTCTATTGTTTTATTGTTTGTCACTCCATAGAAGAACTCTGAGAAGGAGGAAAAGAATCAAGCAGAGGCTCGACATTCCTTTCCATTTAGGGGGTTCCTATTTCCTGCTAGCAGTAAAAGCTTAACTTTGCAGAATTGTTTGCATTGTTGAATTAAAAGCTAAAGGTTGCAGATATGTTAATAAAGCTAAATGTGCTCCATAGGGACACAGGTGGCGCTGTGGTCTAAATAAACCACAGAACCTAGGGCTTGCCAATCAAAAGGTTGGCGGTTCAAATCCCCATGACAGGGTGAGCTCCCGTTGCTTTGTCCCAGCTCCTGGCAACCTAGAAGTTTGAAAGCATGCCAAAAAAGTGCAAGTAGATTAATAGGTACCACTCTGGCGGGAAGGTAAAACAGTGTTTCCTTTCGCTGCTCTGGTTTCACCAGAAGCGGCTTAGTCATGCTGGCCACATGACCTGGAAAAACTTTCTGTGGAGCGGACAAACGCCAGCTCCCTCGGCCTGTAAAGCGAGATGAGCTCCACAACCCCACAGTTGTTCGCGACTGGACTTAACTGTCAGGGGTCCCTTTACCTTTTCCTTTAAATATGCTCCATAAGGTGGCTATGCAGTAAGAAGGTAGCACAACTGAGTTCAATGGAGCTTACTCCCAGGCAACTACGTATAGGATTGCAGCCATGCCACTTGACTGATCAGGGATGTGAACCTGGGACTCCCTACCTAAACTTCAGCATTGTAGCCAGCCACTACTTGACCATTTGCAGCTTCCTAATATATGACTGTCAGTTAATTCTAATAACTGGGTATTACACCATGCACTGCAGTTGTTTTGGATGTGTGTGTGTGCATTAATATTATATATATATGGATCAATACAGCTGCCTGCATTTTGGATTCTTTCTTTGTAGCATTTCATGATATGCCTGCATTTCAAAACTGTATATAAGTGTATGTATATATAACCTGTGCCTTTTTTGTTGATTTTGTGTGTATGTGGGCGAAGATGGTTTGGAATAATTTAACATATTCAAGCAAACACTTCATACTTACTGGCTGCTACAAAGGTGCACGTGTACTGCCTCAACCATAGGTGCTTCCTTCCATGAATCATGCTGATTCTAATGGCGACACTTCTTAAACAGATTTAGGACGGAGCCGGAGGAAATAAATCAGAGCGTCCCTGATTTTGCCCTTTGTGGGAAAATTACATTTAAAGTACTGAAATGTGTATGTCCTTGATTGAACTTATTTAAAAAACATGAAATTCTGAGGTAGTGGTGTACGCAAGCGAAAGCCCTGATGACATGCTTTCTTTGAACTTGTGCACACATCCGGACTCAGGGGCATCTATTTCTCTTTCTTACAGTGCTATTTTTTCACTATTGAATTTGGCCTTTGTAAGCAAGACGGGCAACTCCGGGCTTACGGAGCAGGGCTTCTATCTTCCATTGGAGAACTCAAGGTAGGAATGTAAACAATAAATATACATAAGCCTGCATTATTTATGGCTAGTAACCAGCTCTCTGCTGCATAAAGATACATATTTCTTGTATAATTCGAGGCTGATTGTATTTACCTCTTTCTAAACGGCCCTGGTAACCGTTAGTACATGTGTTTTGGAGTGCTTGAAAAACACATTTCAAAAAGGTGCCCGATTCCAAATAAAGCATTCATTCCTTTTCCACAAGTGCATGGATTTGAAAGAAACAGAGTGGCAAAATGGGCAGTGCAGTCCTAACCTCCAAGCAAAGCCATTGGAGAGTGTTTGAATGAAGCAGAAATACTTCTCTTCCATGCTCTACCGGAAGCAGCGCTCTGCCAACATGTGGGCTTTTGCCAAAAGCACATTGAAATGATACTGGTAAAAGACCAGGGGATATATTTTGAGGGTTCTTGATCTTTAAAAACTCCTTCCATTTGTGTAAACAATCTATAACATTACATCGGTCTAAATTTTATTTAAAAATAATCCTATTGATGTTGTAAAACATTTCTGGCAATCTGAAAACACGCCATCCGAAAATGCCTGTTGCCATAGGCAACCTCCCAATATTTAAGTGTGTCTTTTCCAGAAGGTTTATTTTCTCAAGCAGAATTAAAAAAAACCCCACAATTAAGAAACCTACAGTGTAGTGAGGCTAGCAACTTGCAGCATGGTTTAACAATCTATCTCTCTTCACATGTAACTCTGAGAGTTGTAGCTCTGTGAGGGGAATTGGGAATACCCTCTAAGCGTCCTGATTTTTCAGGGACAGTCCCGGAATTACAAAAACCGTTCCAGTTTCGGATTTGATCCTGGAATGTCTCTATTCCTCTTGCCAGTGCTGCTGCTATTTTTACCAATATATTCATTTCAACGCACACTTTCTGCTAATATAAACATTTTTATACACATTATCGGTTGGAGAACTGCATTGCAAAAACTGGGTATGTGTGAATTGCAAACAGATAGCTGTGTTGTTTGCATATTGTTTTAGAAAGTGTGAATTTAATAGATTCACCTTTAAATTAGAACTGAGTTGAATTTCTATCCCATCTGCATCTCCACATGTTTTGAACAACATGTCTGGAGAAGAACAAGTGTGGGAATGTCAGATTTAAAGTGTGCTTGCCTTTGATATTGAACACTTAAAAACATATATATACAGACAACCCCTGATCTGCACAGGGTTGTGTTCTAGGTCATTTCGCATTATGGCAGAGAATGTATAAGCCCGTTATGCCCCGCTTTTGGCTAGCTTACAGTTTATCGTATTGTCTGAACCAATGAAAGTGATTGTGCTTTGTTTCAAACAAGCCAATTTCAAACTATAGTTTCCAAATCTGGCCTCTTTAAAGTCAGCATAGTTAAATGTCAAACACTATTCTGGCCCTGCTGACTGTGGTGAAGCCACACAGAGGAGCATATGGGATCAGACTGTGGGGACCCTGAAAGAGGCTGGGCCTGTTCATGCTCCGCTAAACTATAGTTTAATATGGTGTCCAAACACAGCAAATTCATTTCTCTTTCTTATCATAAGGATGCTGTTCAATTGCTCTTTTGGAAATACATGCATGTCCTCCTTTGCTTCCTCTTATCACTATAATCTATCTGTTTGCATAGTCCTTCCCTAGCAGTATTTGCGTGAAAGGGTAATAATGTCTTCTATCAACATACTGTACAATTTTTTTAAAATTATCAACTGTTCACCATATATCTATTTCACTTGTAGACCGAAATGCATTTTCAAGATACGATATTGACTGTCACACAAATGGCATAAGTTGTGTGAATAATATCGTAAGATTAAATTTTACTTGTAAAATGGGCAAACGTTTATTGCCTGGAGGAGCTGGTAATTTGCGCTACCCCAGTAATTCTGCTTGGAATATTTATTGATAACTGTCTCTTCAAGGTTGATGATTTAAGCCGCTTATGCATATGGGGCAGAGATAGCTCTTAGTTGTTTTCGATTATGTCATCATTTGGGGGAAAGGCTCTTACAGCAACTAACAATTTTTTGAATAAAAATTGATTCATCCTATTGATGATTAAAGACCACTCTACATAAAATGGGTGAGACTAGCAACTGTGTTTGAGAGCATACTATGCTATAAAAGCTGGGTGTACAGAAACACTTGAGCATTCTGTAATATAATTTAACAGATGATGTCGTCTGTTTTGCAGCACGCTCTGTCTGATAAAGCCAGTGTGAAAACATTTGATCCAAAGACAACCTGCTTGCAAGAATGCCTTATCACGACTTTCCAGGAAGCTTACTTTGTCTCTGAAAGTTTTGAAGAAGCCAAAGACAAAATGAGGCAAGTTCTTTCACTTGACCCTTCAAAACAACCCCCAAATCTAATTTTCTCTTATCTGAAGGCACAGAAATAGGAGTTAATTTTCTTTCTTTTAAACTTTCAGGGACTTTGCAAAATCAATCAACCGTCCCTTTTCAGTATATTTCAACCCATACACCCAAAGCATTGAAATTCTGAAAGACACCAGAAGTATTGAAAACGTTGTCCAGGATCTTCGGAGTGACCTGAACACAGTGTGTGACGCTTTAAGCAAAATGAACAGATACTTGGGGATATGAGTTATCCAGTGTTGTGGGATTTGGAGTGTAGCTACCTTAACACCATTATGCGATGCGATGTCTGTTCCTTCTCTGTTGCATGACCGTTACACTTCCTTAGTGTGTGATATTATCCGACTGTCGCTTCAGATACGCCAGTGCTAACACGCAGATCCGCAAGGAAGTGGAACATGTATCCTTTGCTTATTTGTTTCAATGTTTAGCTTGCCACGCAGCTTTTAAAAAGCTCCCAGGGCAGCTTACAAGCACATAAAATGAATACACTTCAATAAAAAGCAAATACGTCAATAAAAATGCACATATTAAAGACAAAAAAAGCATCCATCATCATCATCATCAAGCAATAGCAGCTGTAAGCAAAATTACAATAAGAACTGCATTTTTAAAAAAGTTTATGTTCTCTGATACTAAATGGTTCTCACTAGCCTAGCAGACAGATCTGATGACTTCAGTTGAGGGGATTGTACCATAAATGTGACACCACAACAAAAAAGGCACTGTCCCTTGTACCAGCCACCTTGATCTCAGGCAATGCTGGCCCAAGCATGCCTCAAAATGGCACTCCGCTTCCCACCAGCGAGGAAGGGACGAGTGAAGATCAGGAACAGGGGGCAAAGGAGAGAAAGATTGACACTGGGATCTGCTGCCTTTGTGGATCTGCCGCCAGAGATGATCACCTCCCCTAGCCTCATGGGTGGGCCGGCCCTGTACTTAAAGCAGGGCCAGAATGGGGAAGTTCATGCAGAGAGTACCTGGGAATCAACCTATTTAAAGATCTAAAAGTTTAGTCCAACACTTTAAATTGTGTCCTGAAACAAACTGGGAGTTAGTGTGATTCTTTCCACATAGGCATAATGTGCCACCGAGTGATCCAAAACCTTGACAAGGAGAAGCACGGTGGGGGACATTGGCAGATGCACTACAGCACCCAGCGCTCTGCCACCTTCTGAACCAGTTGATGTTTCTGGAAAGTTCTTAAAGGTAGCGCCATGCACAGTACATTACAACAGTTCCAGTTTTGAGGTTATCAAGGAATCCATGGCCACGTCACTCTCCTCTAGAACAGGTTGCACAGATGAAGCTGCTGAAAGGAACTTGGGTCTCTGGGAGCACAATAAGGTCCAGGAGACTGTCTAAGAATATACTTCCTTGATATAAGCCTGCAAAGCCCTGATATAGCCAGAAGTTCAGACGTGTTTATGAGCTGGTTTGCACGCGTTCGCTCATTCATCACTTTGCTACCTCAGCTTTGAGTGTTGATTTGCATGTCTGACCCAAATGAACACCTCATCATGAGCTCAACCACAATGCTTTACAGTGCAGCCCTCACTTTCAGCCATGGGTCATTGAGTGTTGAGTAATAAAGTGATGTACAGAGATATGCGAGGCCACCCTTAACACCATGCATAAATGTGGTATTGAAAAACCTGACTTGGAATTGATTTTGTTTTCTTTATGACGTGGTGGTTGTTTTTTGTTTTAAAGGAAAATGTAACAAATGTCTCCTCTTTTTTGTTAGCAATGCACATTCCCCTCTTCCCTCACATTTTCACAACCACTGGGTTCCCACCAGAACTTGAGCGGCAAAAAACTGCAATGTTTTTTGTTTTCCTTGTTCAGTGGAGACATATTTCTTGCTTGGCTGGTGATGACTGTTTCTGTCCCTGCGCCTTTAGATTTAACTGTGGTTTATGCAACGTGGTGAACATAATATGTCTCTGTTAAATGGCCTTTGGGGTATAATATACATAACGGACAGTTATTTCCAAACATTGAAGCACCTTTTCATTTTGTGTGTGTAGCCCTGTTCCACTTGCATATCATACAGAAATCCCTAATTTATAGATCGCACCAAATAGTAAAAAGATGCACAACATCATTCTTCATATATTTTTCTTAAAAGATGGCAAATCAGAAATTAAAGGCTGCAATCTTTTGAACTCAGCAAGCTTCCTTCAGAGTAAATATGCACTTAATCATCTCTGTAATTCTTAACTAATTGTTATATGAAAAGAATTATTACAATTCATCAATCAATAGTAGTAACGCCTTAGTAGGATGTTTAATCAGGCACAATTTCTCTCAACTAAATAGGAGATATCTAGTTGCTTGTTTGAAAATTCTTCTTAAATCATAGCCTAAATCAAGAGATATAATTTATGATAACTCTGTTTCTCCATGTGTATGATTAGCTATAAAGAAAGCGTCTGTCTTTCACAGGGGGGCAGCTATGACTACAAACAGCTTTTTTAAAAACATAGGGGAAATCTTAATTTGTAATTGAATGTGACAAATTAATCACAAAATGCACTTGGCTCTAGAGAAATTGTAGATTCTAAATTAGCTGTGGAAATCCTGACATGATTTCCCCTTGCTTGCAAATGATCTGTGGCCATCATATATAGTGGTACCTCAGGTTAAGTACTTAATTCGTTCCGGAGGTCCGTACTTAACCTGAAACTGTTCTTAACCTGAAGCACTATTTCTGGGTTAGCGGAGTCTGTAACCTGAAGCGTATGTAACCTGAAGCATATGTAACCTGAGGTACCACTGTACTCCTTGCTGCATTATCCAGAATATTCCAATGGATTTTTCTAGATGTGTGTAAGTGGTGTTTATTTAGTGGGCCACTTTCACATGCACAAAAGAGGACTGTTAAAGCTGAGGAAATTCCGATTCCTTACAAGTAAACGGATGAGGATGGAAGTCATATTTTTGTAACGACAATTGCAGTCTAATTTCTGAAATGAAAGCAGTCTGGGCAGCCTAGGTTAGTAGGAACAGTAGCACTTCAGGGATGGATCAATGATCTTTTTTGAAATTGCTTGTTCAGATTAGAATAAGTGCTCATGCACTAAAACAAAGATCAAAAGTAATCTTAGAACGTACCATACAGCTAACTTTTGGGAAGACTGACAAGACCCTAATGAACAAACATTATGCTCTGTCTCTCTGGCTTTCCAGCTTGCTGCTTTACTTCTAGGTCACATTATTGCTAATTCTCACCCCTCTACTCTAAACTCTGGCTTTACCTGTTGAGGGAGGGCCCCCTCACCCATTTGCCATCGCCTGCTGAGCCTTCTTGATCCCTTTGTTCTCTTAATGGCCATTCACCCAGGTGCTCACAGGAAACTAGACTGGCTTAATTAGATTTTAACACTTGCTGGATCCACAGATTAGAGAGGTCTGGCAACACCCCAAGCCTTGGTTAAATTCTAACACTTTCTAGATTCAGGGATTATAGGAAACTGGCACCCACAAACTCATGATAGATCTTAAAGTCCATCCCTGGCATCTGCAGGGAGGGCTGGAAATACTCTAGTCCAAAACCTCAGAGACCTGTGGCCAATCAGTGTAGGCCATACTGGTGCCCTCCAAATGTTCCGGGCTACAGTCATTCCGTGTCATGAACTGGCAGGGCAATGGGGAAGTGGGAGAGGAGGAGGAGAATCCCAGCGCCAGGTGAAGCCAGGACTGGGGCAACTAGGGCAAGCACAGGAATGGGGAAGGAAGTACTCGCGGGGTGACGGAGGATGGCGAGGAGGTGGGTGTCAGTGCACGGGAACCAGAGCAGTAGGACCCAGGGGGCCCCTGTCTCCACAAACACCGTGGGCTCTGAGGCAGAGGGAGCAGCGAGAGGGACACTCTAGGAGGCTGAGGCAGGCAAGGGTCCACAGCCCAGCTCCCTAGCTGGCCAGGTGGAGATTGCTAGCTCTGGGAGGAGGTCTGTGATTCCTCAGCTGAAGTAGGCTGAAGACAGGTGAGGCTCACATGTCTCATCAAGCACAGATGCTGCAATCAGCATGCAAAATACAAAAGGGAAGCAGAGCTGAGGTGCTGTGTCTGCTCAACTGCCAATGCTGGTGGACCTTGGCTTGGCTGTTTCTGGACCTTTATGGGACTGTGCTTTGGGTTTGACTCTGGACTGTATCCTGACTGCTGGACTTCATATTTGGCCTACTTTGATTGACCCTGTACTGTGTTTCCTGACCTTTGGACCTTGGACTTTGCTTGTGTGGATTGATCCTCAGAGTTTGAACTTCGGATTTGATATACTGACTTTCTGCCAGGTAGGTAAGGGGTTCGAGACATTCAGGGATGATGGGAGTTGTACTCAAAAGCATCTGGAGGGCATCATGGCTGACATAGGCAATACTGAGCTAGATGGAACAGTTGCCTGACTCAGTGTTAAGTCTGGAATAGCCAAACTACTGTAGCTTCCTGGTGAGGTGATGGGGAATTAAGGGGCTCGGTGTGAGGTGGTGAATGGGTGGACAAACAAAGCTAGAATCTGGAGTAGAGAGTTGCAGTGATGTAGGCCAGATGCGAACCAACAAGCTGGAAGAACGCAGAGAGACAGAACAACGATGTCTGTTTGAATCCAAGGCTGTGACTATGGGAAAAATAAGATGCTTTGGGAGTGTTGATGTTGGGAACCCCTCCACCGTAGGCTCAGGTTTTATATATGTGTAAGTAAGCCATATATCATAAAGACACCACTGTCTCTGCTGTGCCTCATTCCAAAAGGAAACATGGCCTGGAACCCCTGGAATCTCATATCGTTTGGAGATTGTGGTGGCAGGCAGCACTGTTTTTGTCCTCACACCAGCCACTGAAAAGGAGCAAGCGAGCCTCAGCCAGAGTTTTGCAAAATTTGTTCTATGCCACGCTTTAAGAGCACCTAACAACTCTCTTGTAGCTCTTCACCAGGAAATTGCAGGTTATCGAGATTTACTTCAGTGCCTCTCAAAACCTCTATGACAGAAATAATAGGATTTACTTGACTTCATCAGGTAATCAAACACAAAAGAATAATGACTGTGAAGCAACCTACCTCCACTGTGAAAACAACTAGGGTCAAGCTGTCCTTGATACTTTCTCCTCTTTTTAAAAGTAGTTGTGAGGAAGAAGCTGGCAGGCTGGCTGCTTGCTCATGAGTAGCCTGAGCACTAATTATCATAGATGGGCTCCGGTGAAGTAGGGTAGAGGTTGATGAGATAATAAGCCTTCAGACTCCTCCCTGAAAGGTTATACAGTGGTACCTCGGGTTACATACACTTCAGGTTACAGACTCTGCTAACTCAGAAATAGTGCTTCAGGTTAAGAACTTTGCTTCAGGATGAGAACAAAAATCGTGCTCTGGCAGTGCAGTGGCAGCAGGAGGCCCCATTATCTAAAGTGGTGCTTCAGGTTAAGAACAGTTTCAGGTTAAGAACGGACCTCTGGAACGAATTAAGTACTTAACCCGAGGTACCACTGTAAGCCTCGGAGGGAGTCCTAAAAGGAAGGAAGGTTGCTTCCAGAGAGCCAGGGTTGAATGCTAACACAAGAGCACTCTTGCTCATCTCTGCCCCAAATATGCTTGGGTGGGACAGCATGCAGAGAGAGGAAAACTGTTCCATCTGGCAAGTGGAAATGCTTGCACTGATGCAACTATCCTCTTAACACAGTGTTGAATTCCGCCCTCAGTATTTTGCAGCAGGGATTCAATTGCCCAGGTCTGCGCCATTAAAGATAAATGAAAGTGCTCTGTTGTGGTGGTGCAACAAATCCGCTTACAAAAATCAACACCCCCCTGGAGGGTTTTGCAGTTAGGAAACTAATGGGGAGATGCATGGAGAAGTGTGGGATGAATGAATGATTAATAGGAAGATGTCTGACTACCACACAAGCGGATTAGGATGAATTCAGGGTAAATGTTCATTGTCATATAATCCTCTCACAAGCAAATCAGAAGAAAAAAAAATCTCAATGAAGACAGGACGTAGTATAACCTCTGTGTATGCCATGTGCAAGCAAATTGGGATGGATGCACAAGAAACAGGTTGTCTGGAGGAATCCAGAAGTTGCTGCTTGAGGGATGATAAAGGAGCTGATGGGGTGTGGAAGGCTGGAATATCTACTCCACACACTCACTGGTGACTGAGGGGAGGGCAGCCTGTCCTTGTACTGCTGTCCTCAGTTCTGAGGCCCTGGGACTGTGACATTGGCATTATGCAAAGAAAAGCCCGAACTAATAATTATATCGCCAGGATTCGTTCTAAGCTATTCTGAAAGTGTCCACAGCCTTCTGCTTTTCTGTAAAGAAGTAGCACATCTTAATTGCAAATAGTTAAGAAGTAAATCTTAGTATGGATTAGAGACCAGCAGTTGAAATCCCACAGACAGTTTAGGACAGATGAAGTCAACAAAGCTGTCTTCTGTGAGGATGGAGTGTTGTCACTGAAAATGGACCATTGTGGAAGCATAAAGGATTCCTGCTCCTAAAAAAAGCATATTTAATGCAATGGTTTGATTTAATTAGAACGCAATAACAATTAATGAAATGTTATGGGATGCTGTGAGATGATTGCTTACTCTTTTCCATATTCAAATGCTTA